AATCAGAAAGAACCTGGATAAACTAAGAGTTCGAGTTGGGACCTCTTCGAGTTGAGTTGAGTTTCGCCCAGCTCTTCAACTTGAGATTCCAAGAAGTCGAATTGAAAAACCGGAATCCGTGCCGTCTTCGACTTGAGTTTTGCCCAGATTTCGACTCTTCAGGAATACCCCATAATCGATGAAGCTAACGGGGTCACTGTGAAAACTCCATAAACACAGCTGGGCAAACCAAGTAAAACACGTCAGAATAATGACGCCACATCACACATACACCAAATGACTTATATGAGGTGTAATGTCGGTTATACCCCCATGAGAAACATAAGCTGTTTCTCATCATGAGAAATGGGGGCCTCCTCGTAAAAATAAAGCACCCTTAAATATATTAAATAAATCATATCCGCTTAATTACTTTAATCTAGTACACGTGCTAAGATACAACTCATATGATTATGCACTATATCGTGTTCTCTAAAAACTTTTCAAACTATCAAGTAGTCACAAAGATTATACATGTCTCTTCGTGTACGATGTATTGGGGTGAATGCAATATGAACCTCACCTAAGTTGAGTGGCAAGTTGAGCTTAGTTTGACCCTAAGGTGAGCTACAAGTAGAGCTTGTGTGTGGTTGTCTTGAGTTTGGGTCAAGCTTAACTTCAAGTTCAAGCTGATCTTGCTGGTGTTGGGTCTTGGCTCGGCTCGGTAATGATCCAATGAACTCCCAATACCCAATTCTAATCTTCTAACTTCTATACCCAGATACAAAACTGAACCGCCCAAGGGTTAACAAGCGAAAATGAAATTACAAAGTTACAGTTAATTGTCTGAAGTTTGGCATGCTTTAAGGTGGTAAATCTGGTAATACTTTTAAATGATTGTTTAATTGTGCATCCGGAGTAGTGTAACCCTAATCTCAATTTGTGTATGTTCTTCATTTGTTTCCGTTACCTCTTCAAAGTTGGCATTACGGTGTGTTTATTGATGGTAATGAAGGGAGATAATGGATGATAAAATAATTGATATTATCTTATGGGAAGATGTTATAATTGGTACTATCCACAATTTCACCCCAATATTATAATTTTCTTCATAAATTTCCGTTATCATCCAAATAACAATACAAAACTTTCATTTGATATCATTCCCTTAGCCATCTTATCCATTGAACTAACTGTTAGTATTACTGATTTACTGGTACATGAAGAAATGACATTGTTAAGGACATTGAAATGAGACCCTTTGCTAGCTAGTTAATTCAGACAAGTGAATTGTTACCACTAATTAAATAGTCCATTAAGGTAAATAAGGGAAGCTTCTTGTGTGTACGTCGTTTTGAAGTTGAACGTGCAACCTAATTACTGTAAAGTAAATTTCGTATATGCAGAATCTTACAGTGTAATTCATGATTCATTAAGCTTGTATCTAGCTCATTTTCATGACTTGAGTTGTTGTGGACAGGACCATATGAGATAAGTACAAGATGGACTATGGTGATGACATTTGTTCTGTTGCCATGGAAACCAGAATTAGTTTTCACTGGAACATCGGTGATGGGAATCAACCCTGAAACAGGAAAATTCTGTAGTCATGTGGTGAGCTCCATCTTCAAGTGAATCAATAAAAAGTTGTGTATTGAAGTACTTGTATGGTATCTCAAAAGTACCTTTATAACTATAAGAACTTGTCTGAAATTGTGTGTTCTGTAGGATTACTGGGATTCTATAAAGGCCAATGACTATTTTTCTACAGAAGGCTTATGGGATGTATTTAGACAGGTATTGACTCTTTGTTAGTCCAACGAACCTTTTCATGTTCTTCTGATCTTTATTAAAGAAAACCACTTTCCTAAAGATGTACAAGACACCAGACTTAGAAACACCTGAATACCAGATATTGAAAAGGACTGCAGACTATGAGGTTAGCTTCTCGCCTTCTCTGCCTGAGTGTATAGGTGATAAACCGCTACTGGTTATGATAGAGGATTGATAGCCCATCCTGAAGAATGAGAATGGAAGAATGAGTATTGATTGGTGTGCTGTCAACATTGATTCATTGACTGTTTATGTGCTATTTTTTTTGTGCCTATTCCATCCCTGGAGCCTCGTCCCTTTTTATTTTTGTTTTCTCCTCTATTCTTCTTTGGCATGGTAGGATATTTCAGACTTTCAGTAACACAAGACTAATGGGACTCAGATGTCACCTTCTTGCTACTGAATCTCCATTGTGAACTTGAAGAGAGTAAATGAAAATACTCACAGCACTGTGGTTTCTTGCAAAATCACAGGTACGAAAGTATGCCCCATTTGTGGTCGTAGAAACTCAGGGTGACAAACTTTCCGGGTCAGCTGGCTTTAATTCTGTTGCTGGGTAAGTTTTAATCCTAATATTCTTTGGCTAGTCCTATCATTTGCTAAATAATGGTCCACATTTCCACAATGAGAGGCAATGACAAATTTTCTTAACTACAGTTACATATTTGGAAAGAACTCCAAGGCAGAGAAAATACCCATGACTACCCCTGTCTTCACTGAGACCAAGGATGCTGGGAGTCAAATGTAGCTGTTTAGATAGTCCTTCCTCAAGACAAAGACCTTGACAGGTGAGTCTTGGGCTTCCTTGAAATTGACTTGACTCCCTTAATGCCAGAATGTTGGTTGAAGTGCAAACTTTAAAAACGTTAAGAAAATTTCATATCGAATCAGCATTAGTCAGTTAGTATCTAGCAACAAATCACACCTCACATTTACCGTTTCTGATTCATTTACATTTTAGAACTTGCTTGTACAGTGCTGGTTTATATGGCTAACTTGAGCCGGTGTATTTCCATTAGTTTGCCTGACCCTAATCAAGAGACAATCAGCCAGAGAAAGGTGGAAGGAGGTATTGCTGCTGCATTGAAATTTAGCGGAAACCAACAGAAGATATCGTCAAACAAAAAGAAAGAGAACTTCGCGATAGTCTTGTAAGAGATGGTCTCAGACCAAGAAAAGGGTGCATGCTTGCTTGCTACAATGATCCTGGCCGAACATGGGAGTTCGTTATGGTAAGAAGCTAATTTACATAATGTGAATTCAGCTTTTTTGTGAAGTGATTTCTTTACATATGTTCTTTTCTTCTGCTGTTGTGTCCATGTTGTAGAGGAATGAGGTGCTGATATGGCTTGAAGACTTCAGTTTAGACTAGTAATACTAGTAATTCAAGCTCTTGGAGTAGAAATTCTGATCATTTTCTCAAAGTCGCTTTTCGAAAGTAAAATCTTTGAAAAATCTATATGAGTTAGCCATGATTGATAGACCAAAAGGATTATTCATGATACCCTTGGCAAATGGTGATGTATATATGGATTATATGAAAATGAAAATTAAGATGTATATTCAATTTTTTTTTATTTTTCCCAGTTTCTGTTTTTTGACCCTTCATTTATTAATTATTTTTGGCATTTGACTCATTGACTTTGCCTCCCTTCATTAGCTCATTGATTGAGAGTACGCTCTTCATCCAATCAGGAGGTACTAAACTATGCACTTCATCGAATCAGAGGTGCTTAACTAGGACGGAGTTCGGTAGCATGTTCATTTAATTTGTGCAATATAGCTGTGCCCCCATATGACCATATAATCAAGACTCAAGCACACTAACTTGGCTCGAGCCATCTCAGATATATAGCTTGTTTCGGACTAAGGGATAGTGTCCAAATTCATAACAATGGACTAGGTCAGTTTGACCTGAACTTGTTTATGAATGGGCGAAAAATCTGCTTGAACACAGTTGTGACACAATTGGGGAAGGCAGCTGAGCTCATGCTGAACTATGCAGGAAAGAAAATTGCTGCAGAATGCCTAAACAGATACTGTACTACTTATATAAATAATAAAGAATTCAATACATACAATCCAATTTCTAATGGAAGATAGTTTGCCAAACTGCTTGCAACTTGAAGATGGAAGCATATAGCTGCAGACCAACATAGTCTTTTGTTATCGAGAAGGATGGTTGATTCACATCTCTTGAATCAGCTCATTGTAATAGAGATCATCTGTGGGGTTCTTTTTTTTTTTTTTTTTTTTTCCAACATGAAGCTATTAATAAATCATTGAAGTACGACCCTTTCAGCTGATGCCCAAAAATCAGGTCTCAATTACCTACTATTACTTCAACAATCTAAATCAGTAGCAAAGGAGAAAAAGATAATGCATTATGATAAATTCAATATTACCCAGAGTATGTAATCTGGTACCAATTAGGCAAGTCAACATTTAATCATGGCTTAAGCAAGCAACAGACAGTGGAGACAACCTTTCACTGAGTGATAATGGGGGATCACAAGGACTGGCAACAGAGTAAATAAGTGTTGTAGCCCATATCCCATAAGTCGGGAACCAATAATGAAAGTTACAAAGAATTTCAGAGATCATATATACGAAGTATATAGAGACTAACCCTATGTTTGGACAGATGGAATTGGAGGGAAAGGGGAGAGAAAGGGAGGGAGTTAGTTTCCAGTGTTTGGGAAAAGATTTGGGAAAGGAAGCTGAGGGAAAGGGAGGGATCCACTTTCTCTACCTCTTTAATAAGTTCAATACCTCCAAATTTGGAGAGATTTGTAGGGAATATGGACCTCACATTTCCCCTCCCTTTCTCTTCCCTTCCCTTCCTCCTATGTCCTTCCCCTTCGTTTCCCTCCTTGTTTGCTATCCAAACATAGTGTAAAGAAGCAAAGAAGGTACAGAATCAGCTAAATGGCAGAATCACACAAGTCAACTAACAACCATTATATGAGACTTCACAGGATATGGTAAACCATTATATGAGACTTCACAGGATATGGTAGATTGGTAGTCACTACAACGACAACACTGAGTATACCAGACACCAGTATAATGTACTCAAGAGGTACAAACAAGATTGAAGAAATAGGCACTCCGGATAAAGAAATTAACACAGATCACGAATGAATTGACTATGAAAACCATTTACTTGAGACTTTGAGAGAACTGAAAGTGAACGATCAAATTAAAAGTCAGGCAAATCTTGTCGACATAAGAAGAAAAAATGACAGGCTGAAAGCACAGACAACTCACAATTGTAATGTAATCTTTTCCCCAACCTCATATTCATGATGGTTGATACAAACTAGACATTTTAGAGATCAACAAGTGGTGAGGAGAATTATCTACCTATAACAAAGATATTCTTACAGCCAAGAAGAAAAACAAAACTACTATGTTTCCATAGAATAGTGAAAACAACTATGAATCTAGTCCATTAGATAGTACTTCCTGAAGCATAATGGAGGAGAGTATGACCTCCAAGAATTTAAGTCTAATATGCCACCTTCATCGGCAATCAAACAACAGAAACACATCATACACCTGAGCTTCTCAATCAAGTATATTGATGTGAACACAAGAGAGAGCCATCATGAACCTGGTCCATGGAGTATCCTCACCCATGACATCACCTTCCACATCTTCTTGAATGATTTCATTGTCCTCGCCTTCGCCATCATCAACAATTTCTCCACCATTATCCTCCTCTTCCTCCTCTTGCTCTTCTCCTTCTTCTTCTTCTTCTTCTTCTTCTTCTTCTTCTTCTTCTCCTTCTTCGGGCATGATCAGGTGCTCTTCTAGTCCATTATAGTATTCAAGTTGAGCACCAGGCCATGGATAATAAACTGGGCTCAAATCTTCAGGGTCTCGTTTTTCGTAGCTAGTGTGACAAAAGTATATCACTTTTCTGAACTTCTGATATGACTTACACACCGATTTAGGAATCTTCACATCATGTTCCAAAACATCAGCCTTGAAGACACGAATCACTATAGCAGCCTCTTCTCTAATCATTATTATTTTAGAAATTCTCTCGATGAAACTTTCCCAACGAACTGTTAGTGGGTCCAAAAGAATCTCCAGTCCACTCCTTGCCTCATAATATTCAGTCTTCAAGTATTGTGGTAGCCATGGGCAGCAAATGTGAATTAAGGTGTGTTCATCATCAACCAGACCACTTTCAGATCGTACATCCCTGGCAAATGTATAATAGCCATGTGCTTCAAACAATGACACCTCAGCCAACAGATTGTCTTCATGAGATCCAGTATCAATTGAATGAACTCTCTGAAAAACAGGAATGCGTCTCCAATGTGGCCGGTATCTCCTTTCACCATTTTCCCCACCAACACTTTCAATCCTCTCTTCTTCTTCTTGGCCTTCTCCTTCACTAGAGCCGCGGCTATGAAGTTCAGATGATGACGATGACGAGGAGGACGAGGACATCTCGTATGGCACCGAGTACGAGTCTGATGATGGCTGAAAATTTCATCAATTACGATTAGATCCATTGATATTATGATATATATCTAATTCGGAGTATCTTATAACGAGCATATTATCGCAAAGAAGCCATAGACTGCATATTCCAGCACTTTAAAAACAATCATTCAGTTGTGATGGTCTAATTAACATACATGGCCTGGTCTAATCACAATATCAGCAAATAACAATTGCATAAAACAATAACAATTTGCTGTTATTGTATGCAATTGTGTTATGGTCTAATCACAATAACAGCAAATAATTGCATAAAACATCACAATTTGCAACCCTAACTCTTAACTAAATCACCTAAGCTCCATAATTAACTTTAGTTAGTGACCAAAACTCCAGTTATTTGTCGAAAATAATAATGATTAGACACGCATTCACCAGCACAAAATCACAGAACATGTAAATTGAAGACATTAATTAATAATTACTTTTTCACAATTAAATTAAAAGCTAACAAAACAGAAAGATTTACATACCGGACCAGCGGCAGAACTTGAAGCACGAAACCGAGTCGCAGAACTGCTTCTAATAACAACAGCAAACTTCTGGAATCCATTAGTGATACTCTTCGGCAAAGTAACACGAGCAGTAGTGTCGTTCTCAGCCTTGTTACATTCCTCAATTACTCTCTTCGGACTCTGAATCTTACGTGAGAAGCCTTCGTTCCAACGCTCACTCTCTATTTTCTTCTTGAAGCTTCCACAGAGAGAAGAAGTACAACGGAATTGCGCCGAAAACGGATGCCGGTTCTGGTGAATGAGGAGCTTAACCTGATTGTTCAGATCTACATTTGCGAGTTGAAGGTTCGTCTTCTCCTGACAAAGAGTTTCCGCTTCTTCAATGAACTTGCGTAGCTGATGGAGATGGAGGCAGAAAGCGTAGCGGTTGACGAGGTCTTTGTGCGCAATCATCATGACAGAGAGAATTTTGGCTGCTGTTGCTGATTTTGTGCTTTTGGTTGAGTTTCCGTTGGAAGTGAAGATATCAGCAGCCATAGAAGGTCTGCATTGTTCTGAAAGTGAGATCACCATTGACGAATTGCTTGATTCTTGCTGCATTTTCAAAGCTGTCACCGAAAATCATGAAAAACAGAGCATACTTTAGTCTCGGTTCAATCCTTAGGGTTTTCTACAATGCGAAAGCTCTAATTACCAAAAGCGATCTAAATTTAAAAGTTTAGAGGTGTTTTGATGGACAGAATACACGAATTCGAATTCCGCTGGAAAATCACAGCATATTCAACAATTGTAATCGCGAAACGTTTCTAATTTCCGATAAATTTCAGCGACAACAATTTAAGTTCATCAAAAACGTGAGTAATTAGTAGTAGTAGACATGATTTTCATGTAATTAGACTTCGAATTTCAGATTAAATCAACGAAAAATCGCAAACTAATAGAAGTAATTAAGAAATTGAGGTACACATTCAGTAGCAAATTCTTCGAATATGAACGAAAATAAACAAAGAAAAATGATTAGAAGTGATTATATGATCACTTACAGGTGAAATCCTAGCTTGAAAACTTCGAATTTCGATTGGCTTCCGAAGCTCTGAAAGAGGCGGAGTTTAGAGAGAAGAAGAGAGAGAAAGTAAGAATTGAGAATGGCTGTAAGAGAGAGAGAGAGAGGCGGGAAACAAAAATCTGAAAAATGAAATATGAAGTGGAAAGAATTTGAAATATATATATATATAGGTTGTAAATTTGTTATACGAGCATGATATTGATATTAAGTTTTGATCAAAACTTGAATGAGAATTGACGGTTGGTTGATTATGCTGAGCGTAACCAATTCCATGTTCCCTGAAATTACTATATTGGCCCTGCTTCTAAACTTAATTTTGTTTTCATTAAAAACAATTCTCATAAGAATATTAGTTGCTTTTTCAAAAAAAAAAAAAAATATATATATATATAGTTATTACATTGTTTTTCTGAAAACATTTTTCAATGAAAAATTTTCCTTCACTGAAGTCAATAGAGGAGAATAGTCTTATAGAGAAAGGAAAGAATGAAGTAAAAGGGAAAGAATAAGTTTTGTACCCGAGATGCTCAGTTTAGTGTTCTTCTTATTAAAAATAAATCGCTTAGCATATTATCAAATGTATTACATGGGCACGCATATTAAATCTTAGGGTCCATATTGAATGTATTATCATAATATTAATGTTAATATTATCTAAAATTGTGAATCTTTTTAATAAATTGTTTTAGTGCTCGCATTTATTTCTCATTATGCATATATATTTTCAAAAAGTGTGGGCAAGCTTTTCAACTTAATACAATACTCCGTATATGTTTGTATAATTGTATGTGTAAAATTGTACGTTTGTTTATAATTAACACTATCAATAATTCAAGAATACTCAAACATAGGAACTCTTGAAGTAACCTATAATTTAAAATTGTTAATAAACCCTGTACAATAGATGGTGGTTTTGACGCGCTCTCTCTCTAAATTAATGGGTGTTTTTCTTCATACAGTAATAGAATTTTTATTTTTATTCTTAAATTTCTTTTTAAGGATAATAGTATATTGGATAGTAATTTTAAAAAAATTTAAATTATTAAGTTGCCTATTACCTTGAGATAGTTTTGAAATTGATATGGCTGTTATTTTTGGAAGTGTTTTTGAAGGATTTTTTTTTTTTTTTTTAAATGTAGGTTTGATATTGAGGAAACTTCACCAAATAATGCCAAGTGTCTCTAGTTTGACATAGCTTTAGTATATACTATATAGTAATAGATAGATAAAACACAGAACATTTTGTCATAAGTTATAAGTCATATAGCCATTGTCAAGGAGGGGCACCATGTGAAAAGTTGCATCTTTCACAGCACGGGTTATAATCAAATAGAGGTACTTAGGTAATAGAAATTGAGAGCCAAAATATAAGAATGAGGATGTTGAGACTTGAGAGCCAAAATGCATAGTTATTACACCGCCAATGGCACTTTATTATTGTTATGAATGAGCTAATGAATATACCCAATTCACTAGAAAATAAGACAAACACGTGTAAAATATAATCAACCATTTCAAGGTCACAATAAACACACAAACACCAAAACAATTACTCCAGACTAATGTCCAAATATTCTAGAAAATTCTGAAACTCGAATAAAAAAAATTATTTGAAAGTTTTAGCAGCAACACTACAACCTCTGCACCAAGTGCTTCATCTTCAACATTAGAATTGCAAAATTACACCTCAAAACTGTAGAGTAGTTTGAGCAGATTGGGAACCATATAACCTGAACAATCCATCATTTCATCTCTTCAGTCTCACTTGTTAAACTACACAGCCACAAGGTATGAGCGTTGATCATATTTACAATCCTTACTAAGAACACACTTATCCAACCAGTACCTTTTCCAACTCTTATTACACAAGAACAATGATCACCTAAAATATTCCAATATTCAGAAGAATACCAACCTAACAGAACTACCAAGCAATAGGCTATAGGCAAATGGGTTCCAATATCTCGCAGCACCATGTATAATGTCAAAAATTTTAACATGCTACTAGAACTAAACAAAATTCAAGTCTATACAGGACATATCACAAAAAGAGCCTCAAGAGATCCGTGTTCTTCCCGCAGACAACTCATCAAGTTTTTAGTGCTTATTGTCCTTGGGAGTTTCCTTCTCATGAACCTGTCCTTCCACTTGCTTAGGTTTAACTTTCGCTCCTGCCCTACAAATATAAATAGTTACACATCAGTCAAACTAAAAGATAAAGAGTATAACTGTTAAACTAATTCAAAACATGCTTTATACTTTGCATTAACAGCTACTTAGTGCATTGAATAAATTCATCAGGCAATAGATATAGAGTGGCTGATTAGATACCTCTAAGTCACATAGACTATCCTAACCAAAGTACGAGTACTACTCAAGAGCCAATTATATCACCCAGATACATCATTACTCATGAGACATGAGACCATACAAATCATTATAGATATACAGAGAAAACACGCTGAAGATATCCATGTCTGACCCTTGCCTGCATATACCTAATCTATGTATGTTGGTCCAGCATAGCAGATCCTTCTAAAGTTCTAATGTAATTAACTGACTAAATTGGTAGAACTTTCTTTTCTTTAAACCCGTAAAATTCTCGACATTATCATCTATTGAAAACCAAGAATATCCTAATGTTTCTCAAACAATCAGGCATTCACTTTAACCACCAAACTAATTAACACAATGGTTCTACCTTCCATGAATATAGTACGCCCAAGATCATAACCAGAGAGACCATTTTAGCAGGAGGAGACAAAGTGACTGATTTATGTCTACCAAATATTGAGCAGTTAATCAAACTAAAACTTTTATACGAAATTTCATAGGAATCAATCAATAGGTAACAGAATTCTGTCATAGCCTTATTATTATTAGGCAGGGCACAAATTTGTGCAATATTATAGTTGTCATGTTAACATAATTAAGGGTATTCATTCATATGTGAGACTTTAACATCTCAAGTATCAAATTCATCAAGATATTGACAACAGCCAGTGCATTAATGCTCTTTCATAAGATATTAGCGGATTGGCCTTCCATGTTTTACTAATGTCTTGAATGTCTGCACAGTATTACAACTCTATTCTCTGCTAAATGCACCAGTGCCTCACAGTTTGACCTAATCATTTCCAAGTAAGAACTAAATGCAAAGCTTTGAGGCAGACCCCTAAGTCCATAACACAGGTAAACAATGAAACAACGGAGCAGTGTCATTGACTCACATCTCAGCCTGTATTCACCTTTTCATCGAAGCACCAAACAAATGTAAATTAGGTTTATCAAACGTTTAACATTTAGAAAAGGCATTAAAAATTTTGATCAATAAGAACAACTTTTGCGACTCAAAAAAAACCATCAGCCAAGCGTTTCACCAACAGATAATGAGTTCGGTCAACGCAATGTCTCGAGAAGTCCATAACTCCATATGTACGCAACCCTACATCTAAATACAAAGGTATATATACACTCTAATAAGCTTCAGTTAAAAAAGAGACCAAATTTCTAGTAAATCCACAAAACATGAATCCATTTGGTAACCACTATACTTCCACTATCCATTACTTGTCACAATAGTCACAAAACATACAATAGATTTTATAAATTTAACCTAATTGCAATAATTCTCTCAGAATTGAATAATTAAATTGAATAATTATTGAATATCCTATACCTTCTCTAGTTATATTGAATAATTAAATTGCTAATAATGTATTCAATATCTTAATCATATACATCAAGAAGCTTGACAAAGAAACTAATTCATCGACAATCGTGATATAATATAACAAAGAAAAAGATGCTTATAGAATCACAATACAAATAAATAATTCAAAACTAAATTGAATTACTAAACTCTCAATGATACACTACATTGACACAAACGAATCAAATCCTAACACTTGACTGGTAAAATTGAATAATTGAATTGCTGATAAAGTATTTCAATTTCATAATTGAATGAATCAAAAAGCTTAACAATAACAGAAAATTGATAAAGAACACGAAAATTAAATGAGAAGATCATATTCAATATTTATAACTATATACATCAAGAAGCTTAACAATAAAGAAACTAATTCATCATCAAGCTCGTAAGATAGGAATTCAAACGAACAAACTTAAGCCATGAATTAATTTTAAATAATCAAAACCTAATTGTAACACTTCTCAAATTAAATCAAATCCTAACACTTTGATAGTGAAATTGAACAACTAAATTGCTGATAAAATATTTCAATTTCATAATTAAATGAATCAAAAAGCTTAACAAACACAGAAATTGATAAAGGACACGAAAATCAAATGCGAAGAAATGGAAAGTAGAAAGAGAGAAAGAGGAGGTACTTAGAAGAAGAGGAGAGAGATTCTTCTTCGATCCAATTACGAATTTGGCGGACGTCACGGCGGAAGATGGCGGTGGAACTCTTGACGTCGCTACGGAGTTGAAGTATGGCGGCGCTAACACCAGCCACTGTCGTCAATGCCATTTTTCAGTTGTTTTACCACGTTGTGCTTTCCTTTCTCGCGTTTTTGTGTAAGGCTAGTAGAGTCCAAAATGCTATGGTCCAAGATGTTAATGGATCTTTGGATGCCCCAAAATTTTATTGTCCAAGATTTTCCGCGGAAGGAAAATGACCGAAAATGTTATGGGCCTTTTTTGGGTCACAAGAAGTATAATGTGTCCATACAAGTCAAAAGGTGCAATGAGAGTATGAGACCGTTGAGATGCATACAAGGGTTGTTGTATGCACATAACATAAGCCCTATGCAATCGATTGATAATTGGAATAAGAAGTTTAGACTAAAATTATTTGTTTGGGATGTAGCCTTGGACACAAGCTAGAGAAAAAGAAATAACATGAGACAACCTCTCGAATGATCAAAATTGAGATATATTGACCATGGCGAAGATATGGTCAAAATTGATGTCGGGTTATATAAAGCACCCACACAAGTTGAAAGACGTAATGAAGGGCACTTGCGAGTTTTGGGAACACACATAACTTAGTGTAGCCTAAACATGCTGAAAATCCAAGAGATAATAAGATGGGCCCGAACTGACATCTCGAAACGGCCAAAATTAAAGTCTATAATCCATTGTTTCAGAGAGTCATGAGGGCATATAATAGTTGTAAAATGAAACAAAAACTTTGTGGGTGAGTCATTGAGTAACCCATAGTGCTTTGATAATTCTTCATGTGCAACCAAGGAGTATAAGGCCTTTTTGAGGGTTTACAGCCCCGTGTTTATCTAATCAATAATTAGAATTATATTCATTTACAATCCTCTAGTTATTCTCAACTATTAAGCACATACAATGCACAATAACATATGATTGAAAATTAGTTGACTTCTAACTAAGCAATCACATGTATCTCATACAATGCACAATAACACATGCTTGAAAATTAGTTGAATTCTAACACATGGTCGAGTATTCTAATAGAAGTATACAGTTTGTGGGCAGTTAGTGTCTTTTGCAAGAAATACTTCGTTTATTTGTAGACATTTTGAAATGGTGCCAAAAGTGCCAAACGCATCACCCTCTATGAATCTGCAATATTTGGGGGAACATGCCTATATTAATTTGTTATAAAATTAAGGAAAATTTTTAAATTACCACCCAAAAATGTATCCATTTTCAAAATAACCACCCGTTTAATTTTTTTTTTAAATTACCACCCCTTAAAATAAATAATCGCTCAGATTACCACCTATTTCAAAATTCCGGTGGGTGTTTCCGTCTGTGAGCCCCACCTACCTTATTTCCCTCCTTTTTTTGTTCATTTATCTCGACTTCACTCTCTCTCTCTATGCTATTGAACTCAACCAAACCCCTTCCTCATTCAATTTCTTCATTAGTTTTCTAAACAATCCACTTTCTTCTCCCTCTTTCTTCATAAATTACTACAACCCACCTCTTCTATCCATCGTCACCATTGTCAACCCATATCTCTAGAGAAATCAACAACTCTATGAATCTCCTCCTCTTTCTCTTTCTCTCTCTCTTCTTCAATCAATTACAAACTCACTTGAAAATTTCAGAAGTTTTGTACATGCATCAAATCCATTGTTGGTTGAATTAATTTAATAATCTTATCAAACCAACAAATCAAAACCCTAAAAAACAACAAATTAAATTTAAAAAAAAAAATTAAAGAGTGCAACCTTGGAATGAGCAGAGGAAGCGGCAACGTGGGGTTTCGTGAGGAAACGGCAACGTGGGTAGGGGTTTTGTGTGAAAGCGGCGACGTGGGGGCTAGGTGGGGTTTCGCAAGCAAGGGTTGGGCTTGGTGAGGTTCGCTGGCAGGTGGTTGATGTGGGTGGGGTGGCAGAAGATGGGGGAGCTGCTAGGGGCTGGGGTAAGGGAATTCTAAACCCCCAATTCAATTAAAATAGGAACCCTAATTTAAGAAAACCCCTGATTCAATCGAAGCATGAACCCTAATTTCATAAAACCCCCAATTCTACCTATTTACCCCAATTATAGTGGAATTTATTGAAGGAAATGCGAATTGAAGTTGGGAGCTATTTAAAGAGAAAAATCGGGGGGGGGGGGGAGGGGATAAGTCAAAAGGGTCAAAATAGCGGTTAGTAGCCGTTAGGTGGGGCTCACAGATGGAAAACCCACCGAAATTTTGAAATGGGTGGTAATCTGAGCGATTATTTATATTAAGGGGTGATAATTTAAAAAAAAAAAAATTAAACGGATGGTTATTTTGAAAATGGATACATTTTTGGATGGTAATTTAAAAATTTCCTAAAATTAAGTAAGTTGTTAAAAAATTAATGAATAATTGCATGTTTGTAAAAATTAAAACGATTGAATATCAATGATGTATTTATTAAGACGAATTAAATTATACCCAACTTGACTAGATTTATTCTTATATTTTGACAAATATATAGAAAATTGCATCAACATGCGGATAGTGAGAAAAATCCAAATGCACAAAACATTAAAAAGAAGAAGAAGAAGAAGAAGAAGAAGAAGAAAGAAGAAGAAGGGAGTATGTAAATAAGTTAGGCAAGTGATATAGGTTAACCAATTTTTATACATTTTTGTAAGATAATATGTATAGCATAATTCTTGTATGATCGCATTTAGTTCTATTTTTTTTAATTAATTAGTTGCATGCAATAACATGTAGCCTAGCTAGATTAGAGAGGTATAGTCATAATATTACATTACAAATATTTAATTATATGAGAAAATTTTGTAATCATTTTTATTAGATTATATTGTATTGTTATTATCATATATATAAAACATAATTGAGTTGATATGAATAATTTTTATAAAGTTGGTTAACTAAATGTAATAATATAATAACTATTTCTTACTTTTTAAAAATGTAAATTGATAAAAAAAATAAAATAATAAATAAATAAAAAAAGCGAATCAAGGAGTGATATTTGTCAGCTCCATATTGATCCGCTTGTATTTTATTAGTATATATGATGTGATTGATTGATATTGATATATTGATGATTGATTAACTTGATTATAGTTAGAATTTTTTTCAAAACTTCCAATATTTTAGGTCACTTTGACAGATATTACCAATTAATTAGATTTTTGTAAATTACTATTAACACATACTACCAAATCAGTTTTCCGTTAAATCTTAACACAATATTCTGTTAATTCACTTTCTTAAAAATGATTTACCCATATTTTGTTCAAAATTTGCACTAACTTGCGTGCCCAGAAATATCCTGATCAAGGTTTTGGGGCCATTTTAACCCTTTGTGAGTCAAAATTTGTAAGAAACGACTTTGGCTCGATTTGTATGCATTAGTTTGCATGTCGAGAAAAATATGCCAATTGAAATTTATGGAGTCATTTTAACCCTTTTGTGACTCAATTTTAAGTTCGGGAAAAAAATTAAATTCACCTCAAATTACGTTTCAAATTCGTTTCGATTTGCGTGAATTGATTTGCTGGTTAGATATAACTAAAAATCAATTTTGGCAGAAAAACCAAAGCAAGTTAACAATTAATTTTTTTTTTTATGGCAAGTTAACAATTAATTAGTAATAAGTGAAGGAGTAGCCCAAAACCTTAGTAATCTATAAATAATTCTTATAATTATACAAAGCATTTTTATAAACCGTGCATCGTATGGGTCTAATAATAATAATAAGGAATTTATTGGTTTTATTTCATAGAGATTTATAGTTGATTTATGAATTATGATCGATCAATTTTTTTCAAGTAAAAAAGTAGAAAACTTGTTGTCTATTTGTCATCAATCAATATTTATTAGTTGTCACATATTTTTTTTTTCAATATGTTGACATTGTAAGAGTGTTACAGTATTCATTAGTAGGCGATTAGCTTATCCCAAAAATTTATGATATAACATTTTGTTAAAAGATATTAATGTACTTTCACACAATTAAATTTTGCAACTAGATCTTTTGTAACATCTTTTTCATATTTTAAACAAAATACTTCGTATATAAAATTAGGGACAATGATATGTACAACTACAAATATGAAAATTAGGGTAATACATGGGTAAATTATTTGTCAATCATTTTAACAAAATATTGTTGCATATAACCTGATATATTCATTTTAAACTAAAACTCTTTATAATCGAGCATTGCTCGGGTATTATCTATTATCAATATAAAATAATTGATTTTAGTATAAATTTGGGAACCACAATGGATCAAGAATGTTAAAGTTATACAGTATAATGATATGATATGATTCCGGTTTGGGCAAATCCGAAAGGCCAAAACACACAAAAGGTAGCCCAAAACATTTACATTCCTTCCTTTTTCTTACAAACATCCGCCAAGCAAGAAGAGTCAAAGAAGAAGAAATAAAAACGTATGGTATAGTAGTAAATACTCCGTAGTAATAATAATTCCCATCTCCCGCAAAAATAAATAAATAAATAAATAATACTTGCCATCAATCAAGAAAACGTACAGTTGAGTTGTAATGGCGGAAAATTATGCATTGTTCACACCCACTTCAAATCCACTCTTTCTTCCTCCTCTTCTTCTTCACAAATACCCACCACCATAAGTCTGCCCTGTACTTCTGCTTCACAGGTGACTTCAATTCCACTTCTTAATTTTTGTTTGCTTTTTTTCATTTGTCATTATTTTATTATTCGTGTTTGGGTTATTTTTTTGGCAGGAAATCGTATTATTGGTATGGTGGGTTCTTAATTTGCAGTTGATGAGGACTTTGACTTGGAATGGTTATGAACTATGATGTTCAATTCATTCTTGTGTTCTATAATTTATTATTAGTATTTGATTGATTATGAATGAATGCAGTGATCATTTTCTTTCTTTCTTTTCTCAATTTTTTTGTGCATGTGACATCTTTTCTGGAAAACTGTGTTGGCGGTTAATTCCAAGTTGTGGGATGATTTTGGTAGAGAAATGGAGTAGTTGTATTAAGTGATGGCCTAATTGGGTATCCAGATGATACTAAACATGTAATCTTGCAATATATTTTGTTTCGTATCAAACTAAGATATAGTGTTTTGGGTGATAATTATACTTTGTTGGTAGTTTTAATTTTAATTTTTTTTTTTTTTTGGTTTTTTGTTTCTAGTGTTGTTGAGATTGATAAATGATGTGAGAAGATCAATTGGTTAGGTTTTTTTTGGTTTGTTTAAATCATCATATTCACTTGAACTTCTTCAGACGTTTAGTTGGATTCGGCATTGTGTTGTATTTGAGCTAGATTTCTGACCTTGGTTATTCATGTGTTTAATTTTGCTTGAATTGTGGTGATGGATAAATATGGTCTTTGATGACAATTGTAATGTGATTGCGTGTGTTAAACCTGAACATTATTGGGATTTTGATGAAGGAAGAAATTAAACAAGAGCACAAGTTAATTGGAAATAAATTGTGATGTTTATATGAGGATAGGATATAGTTTGTAATTGTGAAGCAAAACAATGCAGTTTATATGAAGCAAAACGATGTATTTCGATTGTAATAGCCTGCGTTGATCAATAACATGGTTAAAAATCTCGAAGCTGTACCTCAGCTCTAATTGAAGATGTTTCTGTGTGCACAGGCTCAAGCTAACATGCATATGCAAGGTGGCTTACAATCTTCGTCAGCATTAAGTCCTTCAGGGTTAGAACCATCTCCGTCTGAGGTATTGATGCAACAGCATATATCGACTTCTACATCTTCTGATTCTAAAAAAGTTAATCAGCCATCCCCTTTTCCTGGTTCTAATAAAAGATCAAAAATCGCTTTCTACAAGCCCTGTGAAAATATTACCATTGCGGAAACCATTATTGCCATTGCGGAAACTATAGGACAATAGATGATAAGCTGCGAAAATATTCATAAATGGACATTTTCTAGAAACTATAGGACAATAGATGATAAGCTGCGAAAATATTACCATTGCGGAAACCATTATTGCCGTGCCACAACATATGTGGACTGTGAGAAGCCACAAAATCAGTCAAAAGACAGTGGAAATGTTAATGAAAACTTAAGAACTCAAGCAAACCCTGAATCTCGCATGCAACCACAAGCTAGTAAGGAGAATAACTTGAGTGAAGGCATGGCTCACATGATGGCAGGTGGTAAGGAAGCTGGCCAAGCTACAACGGAGCATTTTCGAGTGATGAGAAGGAAGTGGGTGATGTTAGAATTAGGGAACCTAGAGGGAATGTGTACGGACCTGATGCCAAGAGAAGGTATGCATTGTTACTTCATTGTACTTGTTTACACTACATGTCTTGGTTTCAATCTCCTAATTATTTGTGCTGATGGTGCTTTGTTTCGCCCAGGTCAATAAAAAAACCCAAGATTATTATTCCAGAAACAAGTGAAGTTGGTGTTCCACCTGATGGTTATAAGTGGTACTATAGTGGACAGAGATCTACAAAAGATAATCCAAGGCAAGTGAATAACTTTCGCTTATTTCATGTAAGACTTCCCACTGTTTGAAATCAGTTATACCATATCAGCTTCGAGCTCTTGTCTTGGCTGTTCAAAGCTCTTTTATTGCATTGAAGTATCGAACTTGTTTACCCAACTTAAAACATAATGCTTTAAAGATAGTTACTCCGTATTTAGGTTGGTCTCTAGTAGAAAATCAGGGTGTTTAAACTGTAAAATATGGTGCTTACCATGGAGTAGTCTTGATGTAATGAACTGGCCTAAAAAGATGGGAACTGCAGTTAGTTTATTAGACCTTAGGTTGCAGAAGAAGCAAGCAAGGGAATTAGCAATGAGAGGGAAATATCAAGTATTATCGACGAACAAACAATATGAAGGATAGTAGAGAACAAATAAAAACGATTATTAGTAAAACATCGTGTGTTTAGTTTCATTGATATTATTGGGAGAGATTCAAGCCTCTCAAATGCTCTAAAATTATGTTTGCATCTGCATTTCCAGGTCAATCAATCAACATTGCTCTATAATCTCTCAAAATCATGTCAGTTCTTAACAGATAAATAAGGTTGCCTTTTGGATTGGTGATGTGTTTTAGGCCCTCTTCTTTTGGTCTAAAATGGACCTGAACTGAACTAATTGTAACTAAACGAAGTGAAGTGAATGAATTTGAACTGAATGGATCATAAAATTAAGTCCACAAGGAAAAGGGCCTTAGTAGCCAGTAGGCACACAGTTTTTACTTTGCAAATTTTTCTAATTACGTTTATCAACATTTTGTAAGAAAGATTACTAGATAACTGACCCAATTACTAGTGCAGCAACCTTGAATCTATCAGTCTTGAGAGTTGATACATGATTATCATTCAGCTTGTCCACGAGATTTTGATGGGGTAAGCTTAACAGTTCAATCGCAAATCACTAACTTGTTATTGGGCCTGATGTTAACTTGCACTAGTGGAAAAATGTCTATTTGTAACGGGCAAAAACAGCCTATTTGTAACAGGCGGTGGGCGTTACATATACGGCCGTTACAGATAGCTATGTTATTTGTAACGGGCAGCAGTAGTTATTTGTAACGGGCGGTAAAAATGTCCGTTACAAATAACTACTTATTCGTAACAGGCACTTAAAATGCCCGTTACAAATACTTGGTTATTTGTAACGGGCACTTAAAATACCCGTTACAAATACTTTGTTATTTGTAACGGACACTTATAGTGCCTGTTAGAAATAATCTCTGAATAGAACAAAAAATTAGGGGCATTTGTAACTAGCATTTCAGGTGCTAGTTATCAACTACAATAACATATAACAAATCCAAATATTTAATGCCACAAACATATTATCAAACATAACATATACACCAAATCCAATTTTGTATCTCAAAAACTAATTATAATCTCATCCTGTTGAGAAGTTCAAAACGCTAATGATTACAAAATTTAGTAAACAATGGAACACAAAGAGCAGCAGTAACAGAAGCAACAAAGAGCAACAGTAACAGCAGCAATCAAGAGAAACAGTAACAGCAGCAACCAAAGCACTTCGGCGTCTATCAATGCACCAACAATCTGTAGTAAAGATATACATTATAAGTATTAAGCTAGAGAAGAAAGATAATTGCTTCTTGAATGTAAACATACCTATATAGTAGTTGTACAAGATATAAATGACTGATTATTTTCAGCTTACCCGTCTCATTGTTTGGATTAACCTCCACCCCTCAGCTCTTTAATCTGTAAGATTATTTTCAGCCTGCCCATCTCATTGATGCTACCCTCAGTCCCTCAGTTTAGCAGCTGAAATTTTAGGCAACTGATTAGAACAAGAACAAGCCAAATTTTAACTTCCAACAGAAGTACCAATAATCAGCAGTTGAAAACAATTTCAAGCATGCTAAGCCACTAAAAGGTCTGAAAGATGTGTGTCAGTGCATGAGTGTGTGAGAGGAGCAAATATTTAATTCAACTGAGGCATTCCTTTTCCAAAACTCCATCAAAAAGCTTACATGTCAAGTATACATGATGTACAAGTACATCAGTTTCCATTCTCAACAAATTATAATACATATATCACTTAAGTTCACATAACATTAACATTAGCATCATCCACACAGAATGAATGAAATGAATATAGTTACCTCCAATTCTTCAAGGGAGAACCCTTTTCCAGCCCAGACTTTCATGTTGTACTTGAGAGTTTGACCGTGAACAACCGGGCGAAGATCAAGGTCCAGCAGTTGGCCTTGGGAAATCTTCACAGCCTTCTTTTGCCTGGCTGTAATTGCATACAAAACCGGCGTTTAGACTTAAATAATTCAACAAAGGGCCTTAAAACCAAAGTCTAAAGATACCACTTAAAAATATTGAGTACAATACCAAGACATCTCCTGGTCTTGCGAGCAGGTTGATTAAACCAAGTCTTGACATAGTTTGGCCAATGCTTCTTGAAAATGCCCATTAGGGATAACATGGCTTACGTAAACAGGGTAGCAAAAATATATATGGGTTCAGTAAAACGGTATTCCAAATTTAATCATACAATCAAGAGAAATCAAGTTGCAAAGACATAGCCTCTTAAACCAAAGCCTATATAAATCAATTCTTGTTCTAGCCTTCTAGGTAAATAATGCATCTCAAAAGTAGATTCTCAAAAGTTCTCCTAAGTTCAAGAACCACAAGTCATTTCACAACAAACCAATAGCAAGGGCAGGCCAGAAACTAGCAAAATCCTACGCTAATGAGAAACTTCAATGGTCCATTTAAGGTCAAAAATCATCAAATTAATACACAAATTAGCTGACTCATACACGACCAACATACATCATACTTAAAAATTAGGAGGTAGAAATAACATTGTTGCGCGAGCAACAAAATATATCAGTGTCCGATACTGGCATATATAATATGAGGCATATTAGTGTTCGATAATGGCATATATAATTATAAGGTAAATCATGCTCACAGTATTAGCAAAACTACTAACAGAAATCAAGCATGTCACCTAAAAAACTTCCAACCTCTTAATCTCAAAATCAATAACTTATATTGCAATGGTGGTATCTAATCAGGGATTTTCCTCGCCACGTGGACCACTCGCGTCCTGCCACGTGTCATCCACATGGACCAACCAGAGTCCGCCACGTGTCACCTTGTGAGAGGTCCAAGGTGGACCAATCAGGCCACTACACGTGGCAGACAGATAGCCCATCAGGAAAATGGCCTTCTACGGCCCAAATTCCTAGGCAAAGCCCAGTCAGGCCTAGGTTTACTAAAACCTAGTGCTGGGCACGTTTTCCAACACCCTATAAAAGGGAGATGTTTCCCTCAGAGGAACATCCAATCGATTCAGAAACATTGAATTCAAAATTAACTCACAATCAGAGAAAGTCGGACACCTGACACCTCGAACCGAGCAATTTCACATTGCAGATACTCTCTTGGAATCCAAGAGAGACCTTTCACTTTCCGCACTTTACTCCTCATACACGTTCTAACTTGATCGTTGGAGGCGGAACTCCCACCCACCGGAGTCTCCGTTGTTTTGCAGGTACAGGCGTCCAGAGGTCAGTCTTAGAATTGTAACTCTCCCGCAGGACATCAGAAAACCCCAAAACATTTGGCGCCATCTGTGGGGAGAGTACTTATGAGATGACTTCGCAAGAACCTGTACCGCCTCTTAATGAGAAACCGTCTATGGTCGATGTCCAGGTCTACTCAGACCAGGATACAGATGACGACTATGAAGTCGCCACCCACACGGCCCCTGACGGGTCCCTCAGGTCACGGCGCATCCGTCCCACCGAAAAGAGGGAACGGAACACCGACCAGGCAGGACCCAGTGAAAAAGTCGGCCAGCCGGCTGGACAGCCCCAGGTGGCCGAAGGATCCACCCCCATCACTAGAGACGAGCTCATGACTCTCATGACTAGTTTCAAAGGGGAGATAAAGGATCTCATTGATAAACGGACAGCTGTCCCTACCAAGAGGGGCTGCGCTCATATATCAGGCGCTTTAATCTGATGAAAATTCAGATTCAAGGGCCGTCTGATAAGGTAGCCTACACAGACTTTTTCAAAGGTCTGAAGGACGGGTCGACCTTCAAGTTCGACTTTGTCAGAAAGAGGGTGGCTACCCTCCAAGAGGCATTGATGGAGGCGGACGCCTATATACAGGCGACCGAACTCTGCAATGTCGGCAAACAGTCGGACTCAAGGAGGTCCGACAAAAAAGAGAGTCGGCCATCACAGCCGGCTAAGAAGGAAGAAAAGAAAAGAAAACAAGTCTGGGTGGCTAAAACTTCTGAACAGTCACCTAGAAGAAAAAGAGAGAAGCGAAGACGTACTCCCCAAAGTACGAATTCAATAAAGACGGTTACTCCATCCTCATGGAGATTAAGGACCAGGTCTCTGTTGATAAGCCGGCTCCTATGAAAGGTTCCGCCAAAAATCGGAACAAAAACAAATACTGTCACTACCATGAGGATATTGGCCATGATACCAACGAATGCTATAGCCTCAAGCGTCTGTTGAACCGCCTGGTTGACAAAGGGGTACTCAAGTCCTATGTTTTGAGGTCTAAAGTTACCCTACAAACTAACACTGGGTAGCCGCCCAAAAAGAAGTCCTACTTTGCTAATAGTTCGGATACTGATGAAACTCCGATCTATACAATAGCAGGCGGCTTCTCTAGAGGCGGCCCTACAATCCGGGGTAATAAAGACTACGTCAGGCGGCTCGATGTTAACTCAGTTGACGAGGGACAGGCGTCCAAGGATTCATTCCCCAAAGTCATTATTACTGAAAATGACAAGGGAAGAGTCAGGAGGCCGCATGATGACCCTGTTGTAATCGAATGCAAGGTGGGCAACCAAAGAGTTGGCCGGATCCTCATTGACATTGGGAGTTCGTCTGATCTCATCAGTCACAAGTGCCTGACTAAGCTCAGGTACAAGCCCGAGAGTATGCACCAGGTCTCTCATCCCTTAGTAGGATTTGGGGGTGGTGTGGTACATCCGGTAGGTCGAATAGATTTACCTATTCGCCTGGGCAATAAAGGGGAAGGACGTCACATGGTGGTCCGGTTCTTAGTTGTTGAAGAACTAACGGCCTACAATATGATTTTAGGGCGTCCCACCCTAAATGAATCCAAGACTGTTATCATTCCGTCTCTCATGCTTCTCAAGTATGAGAAGGATGATGGAACAGTCGGCTCCTTATGGGGAGACCAGAAGATGGCCAGGGAGTGTTACCTCTCTGATGTCAAGCCCATTGTGGTCGCAGTCGGCCCCAGTGGAGACACAACTGACCTTGACCAAGTTAAGGAAGCTGCGCCTGCTGCAACATCAACCGACAAGAAAAGAAAGGCCAACCAAATGGTGGCCGAGTAAAAAGACAGACGATAGCCATCACTGAA